AAAAAAATGTGTCATGGATTTATTGCATTTTGGGGGAAAAATAATAATACAATTTTATAATAAATCTCTGAAAATCAAAATCTGGATTTGAATTTTTAATGTTATTATAACCTAAAGATGCTATGTGAAAGTTTGAAACAGAAAATAGTGGTTTTCATCTTGCCAGTTTCTTGGTAAAGAAAACACATTTTTACTCAAATTAATCAAAATGGATTTATAGCGTTTTGGAACCAAACTCTTCATATGTTTTATCATCAGCAAAAACTGAACTGGCTTGAATTTCTTTACTGCGGAGCAATTACTGTACGCAATGAACTATAAGTGTCAAATATAAGGTATTTGACATGTTTAGTCATGTGATGCATGTTTTACCGATACATATCTATGTTTATGTGCCTGTTATGTGCTGTTCACTTTCACAGTGTTGCTAAATATTTGTTACTTTGTACAGTCTACTTTGTCCTGTGGCAAAACATGCATTTTAGACCATACATGGAATGACGAATAAGTGTGACCTGGATGCACCAGTAAATTGTGAGATTTTTTGCTAATAAAATTATCCTGAAAATGATATCAAGAAATCAAATACAGTGCATTAAGAGTGTCACAAAAAATAGCATAGCCTATGTTTTTTCTTTTGATAATCTGTTACTAAAGTGAAATATATTTAGTGTAGTCCTATTTATTTTATTCCTTTTATTTAGTACTTGATTTCAATTTTTCTCCGTTCACAGAAGTGCTGCAGGTGCGTGATGTGATGATGTGTGAATCCTCATGCTCTGTTGTTTATGCTGTTATCTGCACATATAAAGCTAAAGCCCTGGGACGGGGGGAATAAACAAAATTTGAAGAGATGGGTGTCTGTGACCACATGATGTGGAGGCTTCTTGCTCTTCTGATGTGTGAGATGATTCTGCTGGCTTGATGCTGGTCACTGATTCTCTTCCTGAAATATTCCTCCTTCTGAGGTTCATTGAATCCCTGAATTTCTGTCAGACGGTTGATGTATTTGGAGGGGATCTGATTGGCTGCTGCTGGTCTGGAGGTGATCCAGATGAGAGCAGAGGGAAGCAGCTTTCCTTTCATGAGGTTTGATATCAACACACCCACTGATGAAGTGTCTGTCACATCAGAAACTTTCTGAGCATCTGAAAACATCAGTGTGATTCTGCTTTCATCCAGACCATCAAAGATGAACACAGCTCTACACTCCTCATAAATCTTTGAGTCCAGATCTTGAAGTTCAGGATGAAAGTCCAGCAGAAGTTTGTGAAGACTGTACTGATGATCTTTAATCAAGTTCAGCTCTCGAAATGGAAGCACAAACATAAAATCTACATCCTGATTGGCTTTTCCCTCGGCCCAGTCTAAAATGAATTTTTGCACAGAGACAGTTTTTCCAATTCCAGCCATGCCTTTAGTAAGAACAGTCTTGATTCGGTCTTTGTCCTCAACTCCTGGTTCAGGTGAGGCTTTAAAGATGTCATTGCAGTAGATTGGAATGTCTTGTGAGTGTTGTTTTCTGGCTGTTTTCTCCATTTGAAAAACCTCGTGTTCTTCATTCACCCTTTGTCTCTCTCCCTCTATGATGTAGAGCTGTGTGTAGATCCTGTTCAGCAGGGTTTGATGTAGGTTGATTCCCTCAAATAAGCTCTCATATTTGTTCTTCATGCTGGTTTTATGTTGGTCTTTGATTCTCTGTAGTTCATAATCTACTGGGTGGTGAGAATCCTGCTGCGGGTCTCCAGTCTGATCATATCTATCCACACAGCAGAAACAAGAACAACAACACAAAGAATGAATGAGTATGAGCGGCAAGATCTTCTAATAAAGCCACATGTTTACAGGACCAGATTAATTTTATACAGAAACTATACCAGATAAGCTAGAACCAGCTTTACTTTTAAAATGACATTTACGCCTGTTTCACACTGCAAGCTTGAGCTTCGCGTCAGCTTCGCGTCAGCTTCACATCAGTGTAACTACATAGTCACTGCAGCTGCAGCTTATAATGTATATGTATGTGAAATACTCTTCTCTGGAGTTAATTTCTTTAGCAATTTAACAAGCTGTGAACACTGAATGGTAGTCAGGTAGTCAGCACATGCAGGCCAATTGTACCTGAGTGATGGGTCACTCGGCTGTGTTCTGGCAGCAGTTCACTAAAAGTGAACCAGCTCTGGCTCAGTAAAGTTAGCCAGATTTCGCTAGGCTTTGGATGTGTGGATTTGGTCCAATTTGAGCTGCAAACCCATACACCAGGGGTGCCCAAACCTGCTTCTGGAGGGCCGTTATCCTGCAGAGTTTAGCTCCAACCTGCTCCAACATACTTGCCTCAAAGTTTCTAGTGAGTCTGAAGACCTTGATTACTTTGGTTCAGATGTGTTTAATTAGGGTTGGAGCTAAACTCTGCAGAACAGTGGCCCTCCAGGAGCAGGTTTGGGCACCTCTGCCATCAGGGCAGGACTTAGGGGGGCTGGTGCCCCTGGGCTTGAGGTTATGTTTGGGCCCTATACCTACAATACAAATGCCTTAAAATAGAACATCATTATGGAGTAACACAAAATACACAAACATATGCTTTGAGGTTCATTGTGACGAGTGGGGGTGGGGCCGAGAGCCGTGGGAATAATCACTATCAACAAAATTCATAGATGGATTGTGCCTAAATGTTAAGTTTAAATATAACATTTTAATGTAGAAATATTAAATCATCGCAAAAATGAAATAAGCTACTTTTTTTAAATATGAAACTTAATGAGTCTTAAGTCTTAATGAGTGAGTTAAATCAACCGATTCGTTTAAAAAGCTGATTCATTTGAATCATTTGCTGGTCTGTGTAACGCTGCGGAACAAAACACTGCTGTTCGTAGACGCAGCGGATGGGATAAATGCAGAGCACTAATTCCCAGTATGGGTCACCATACTTGGCCACATGTCACGTCACTTTCACTGTCACTTTCACTTTAAAACCCTGAAATAACTTTGAGCAAAAAAAAAACAAAAAACAGAGATGTTGGCTTATTAGTATTATAAAAGTTATTGTCATTTCTGTGTTCTCTTATGTCAGGTTCTTATTTAATCAATAAATTCCATCGAATAAAAAGAGATGCTGGCTATTAACAATAAAATGAAATCACTATCAACAAAATTCATAGATGGATTGTGCATAAATGTTAAGTTTAAATATAACATTTTAATGTAGAAATATTAAATCATCGCAAAAATGAAATAAGCTACTTTTTTTAAATATGAAACTTAATGAGTCTTAAGTCTTAATGAGTGAGTTAAATCAACCGATTCGTTTAAAAAGCTGATTCATTTGAATCATTTGCTGGTCTGTGTAACGCTGCGGAACAAAACACTGCTGTTCGTAGACGCAGCGGTTCTGCTGTTTGTTCTATTTTCTTTCTGACGGAACAAAACGGAATTTTGTGTCTGAAAGTTACTCTGTAAGTTGTTGTTGATTATTGTACATTTGCGATCGTGCAGATATTCGAATTCTGAAAAAAAAACAGGACTCTTGTTTGTGTGATAGGCTAAGTCCTATATCATAGGCATAGCTATGTTATATAAACAGAAACTCATTAAATTGCTATTTTTTTTTACTTTAAATCATTTTGATGACATTTCTTCCCCACTATGTGTAATGGCAGTAAGACGAGAGAGAGCACTCAAAACTCATCAGATGATCGCATAATTTAGTGGAACATTAATATAGTAATATAGAATCATCCTCTGTAAAGAAATGAGGTGTGAACATTTGAGAATTTATTATTATCTTTCTAAATGTGCGGTTTTTGGGGCTAAAGGCTTAATGGAGCTGTTTAAAGTAGCCACGTTATAACAAACCAATCGGTGCAGACGCAATTCAATACGTGTGTCTTTCTTCTATGTGAAATAGTCATAAATACCAGTTTATGCTGTTTGAGTGTGGCCTCGAAGGTCGTAGTTGTAAGCTGTAGCCCCGGCTGGCCCGTTTAGATCTTGCGTGCGCAGTGGAAATGCGGCTAATAATTCCTGAATTCTGACTGCCATATAACGAACAAATCAATCAAATGTAAACGGGCAAAGGCGGGGCCCATGGGCTGCAGCCCACTCAAGCCCAATGGTAAGTCCAGCCATGCCTGCCATACATGAATGCACATATATGAAATATCAGTATATAAAATATATGCTCATATAGAGTAAAAACATAAATGTACATATATGAACAGCCATATACGAAACCTATTAGAAATTGAAACAATTTCATATATTGACATAAACATATATATATATTATATGATATAAATGTATAAATACGTATGTATAATACATATTTTGACATATATGTCTCTTATTATTTTATTGCACATAAGGGACCATATGATTGAATTTCAGCCCAAATTACATTTCTATTCAGAGGACTCCAATGACAGAGTCCTCTGAATAGAAATGTATAGAGTAAAAACATAAATGTACATATATGAACAGCCATATACGAAACCTATTAGAAATTGGAACAATTTCATATATTGACATAAACATATATATATATATATTATATGATACAAATGTATAAATATGTATGTATAATACATATTTTGACATATATGTCTCTTATTATTTTATTTCACATAAGGGACAGTATGATTGAATTTCAGCCCAAATTACATTTCTATTCAGAGGACTATGTCATTGGGCCGGTGGATACTGTTAGCGTAGAGGCTATCGCTCTAAGTTATGGAGCGGCATGTGGGAGGAAAAGAGACAGAAGAGCCGACACTTTGGTTTGGTTTAGGAAACAAAAACATTGAACGCCGCTGCAGAGTATATTACCCTCTAATATTTGTCTTACTAACAAAAATGGCTATTTCAGCCCAAATTACATTTCTATTCAGAGGACTATGTCATTGGGCCGGTGGATACTGTTAGCGTAGAGGCTATCGCTCTAAGTTATGGAGCGGCATGTGGGAGGAAAAGAGACAGAAGAGCCGACACTTTGGTTTGGTTTAGGAAACGAAAACATTGAACGCCGCTGCAGAGTATTTTACTCTCTAATATTTGTCTTACTAACAAAAATGGCTAACAAAATGGACAAAACTAACAAATGGAGCGGCATTTAATACACAGAGCCGTAGTTCACTGACAAGCTAGGCAATATCACGTTCATTATCGCCGGCGATTCATCTGAGATTATGAGCGCAAATTGCATAGCTTGTCAGTGAACTACGGCTCTGTGTATTAAATGCCGCTCCATTTGAAAGCAGGTGATGGAGATTTACGACTAATCACGGAACCGGCTTTACTGACGAGATGCGCATGACAATCGCATGCAATATATCGTGCAGCCCTAATATATATATATTAGTGCTGGGCAACGGCTACCATTTTTGACCGCGATTAATCGCATGGTTTTCTGTGATTAATCGCGATTAATCGCATTGTTATGCACACAATTCAATAATGAACTCAAAAGTAGTATTGTGCACTTTTTTCATTTAAAAGTACTGCTATATGAACAAAAATGCACTCTAAACAAATAAGGTGCTTTTTTTTTACAGCAGTATTCCTTACTCCTTACATAGTAGCAGTTAAATATTTATTGTAAATCTCAACTTATAACATTAATGTAATCAAATTAAATATAAAACCAAAGCTATTTGCCACTGCCAGGGCATTAACATTTTCATAGAAAATATTTTATAGTTTGCTATAGAAAAACAAGTTATAACAGGCACCTTAGAGACCTGAACTATCGCGGGACCCAACCTGATGGGCGAGTGCGGGTGCGGGCGGGTAGACTCGTGTGTGCAAGATTCGGGAGAATAAGGGTGTGCTCACACTAGGCAATCTCAACCGTGCCCGTGCGCGTTTGACCCCCAAAGGTGGACTTCCGTCCGATTGCCACCAGAGGTAACCCTTCCATTATATTGACACTCACACTACACAGACTGTTTCACGTTACCTTGGACTACATTTCCCATCTGCCATTTCACTAATCACACGTTCACCTGAAACCAATCACATACACTACATAAGCCACACTCAAACCATTACAGACTGCCGAGTATTGTTTGCGTATATCGCTCTCCTAGTGGTAACACATTACGGGATCCTCACGTCTCGTTCGCCCCGTAACAGAATACTTGGCCACGCAAGGATCCAGCAGCTTTTCCTCCGGACATTGGCCAGGTATGGACATTACAAGACTATTATTAGCCCTCGAGCAGGGCACGCGATCGCTCAAGGACTATGTACAAGAGTATTTAGATCTCGCTTATTTCTCTGATCTGCCGGATTGTGTCCTGATAGACATTTTCTGCGAGGGCATTAATCAGCCGTTAATGTCAAAGCTCATTCGCGAGGGTCCGTGTTCGTCACTTGTTCAGTTTATGGATTATGCCCTGTTGTCTGTCGGTTCCGCGTTCACTGTGGGTGTCGCGGAGGAAGAACGCGACACCGTGTCTGTGCCTGTAATGGCGGCTGCTGAACTCTGTAAGCCGCAAACCCTGGGACATTATAATACAGTAGCGAGTATTTTGATCGCTACTCCGGTGATTCAATCCACTCGTGAAATGGCGGCTGCACCAGAGCACGCTCACAAAATGGCATCAACAACAAAGCCTTGTCATGCTACTGCTGTCTTTAATGAGTCAAGTCAAGTCACAACTGATCTTCATGAGTTAAGTCAAGTCACAGTTGATCGTCATTAGTCAAGTCACATCACCGGTGATCTTCCTGAGTCAAGTCAAGTCACCGCTGATCTTCCAGTCTCATCACGTTTCAGCTGATCTTCCAGAATCATTTCACGTCACAGCTGATTGTCCAGAGTCTTGTCATGTCGCAGCTGATCGTCTAGAGTCTCGTCACGTCACAGCTGATCGTCCAGAGTCCTGTCTCGTCACAACTGATCGTCCAAAGTCTCGTCTCGTTGCAGCTGATCGTCCAGAGTCTCGTCATGTCGCAGCTGATCGTCTAGAGTCTCGTCACGTCACAGCTGATCATTCAGTCATGTCACTTCCTGTTTGTTGCACCCATATCTCCGAGGTCAGGTCGTCAGTATTCTCGACTGGCATCCAGCGTGGAGGATCCACCGCTGGTGTCAGCAGGCGCAGCTGTTATCCCTAAATCCACTCACTCTGGCCTTCCTGTTCCTGAACTGATTCCCCTGTCTGGAGCCCTTCCCTTGATGGGGATCACTTTATGGTGTGTTTGGGATTCATACACCACCACAGAACCTCCTGAGGTGGAGGTGCTCGCTTCAGCTCCTTGCGTGGTGGTGGCGCCCAGCAATGCACTCTCAGCCTGTCGTGTAGCGGTCGAAGAGACCATTACTGAACTCTCCCTGTTTCCTGATGTTACAGCTATAGAACCTTCAGAGGTGGCTGCAACCGCTGCAGAACCTCCAGAGGTGTCAGTGGTATCCATTTATGAACTCTCTGCCTGCCCAGCCATGGAGGCCGTTTATGAACTCTCAGTCTGTCCTGTCGCGGTCAAAGGGACCATTGCTGAACTCTGTACCTGTCCTGTTAAAGAGAATGTTAATGAACTCTCCCTGTTTCCAGTTGGTACTGCTGTAGAACCTCCAGAGGTAGCGGCATCCGCTGCAGAACCTCCAGAGGTATCAGTGGTACCCACTTATGAATATTATTCCTGCTCTGAACCTGTCAAGACCTTTCCTGAACTCACTGTTTGCCCTGCCATGACCAATAAGGCCGACCATGAGCTCTCAAATTACCCTGTCATTTCCAAGGAAGCCGTTTCTGAGCTCTTTGCCTGTCCCGTTATGGCTAGGAAGGCCGTTTCTGAACTCTTAATTTGTCCTGTCGCAGTCAAGGAGACTGTAAGTGAACATCCAGCCTGTCCTGTCACAGCCAGAAAGGCTGCCACAGAACTCTTGTTCTGTCCTGAGCCTACCACGGAGGTCATCCATGAACTTATGTCTTGTCTCGACCCAGCTGTAAAGGCCGTTCGGGAACTCTCAACCCTGCCTGTCGCGGCTACTAAGGCCGTAAATGAACTTTCTGTATGTGCTGTTAACCCTGTCAATGCCAGAGAGGCCACAAGTGAACTATCTGATCATTCAGTTCCCACTAATGAATCTGAGTGTGAAGTGTCAGCCCGGTTAGTCATAATCAATACTCTTGACGTTGAATTATCTGTGGGCCCCATTTCAAGTAATATGTCTAATGAACTTTCTATCAGTCCCGTTCCTGTCAATGAGTCTGATTTCAAACTGTCTGTCTGTTCTAATGTTACTAATGATCTGCCAGTTCCATTTTCCTCAATAAGTCTAATTTTGAACAATCTGTCTGTCTAGTTCCTACGAAGGAGTCTAATTCTGAACTGTCTGCCTGTTCAGTTGTCACCAGGGAAACTTTTGAAAAAAATGTTGTGTTCCCTGCCTCAGTCTATGGACGAATCCGGTCTATGGACTTCCGTCCGATTGCCACCAGAGGTCACCCTTCCATTATATTGACACTCACATTACGCAGACTGTTTCACGTTACCTTGGACTACATTTCCCATCTGCCATTTCACTAATCACACGCTCACCTGAAACCATTCACATACACTACATAAGCCACACTCAAACCATTATAGACTGCCGAGTATTGTTTGCGTATATCGCTCTCCTAGTGGTAGCACATTATGGAGCCAGTTCTCTGCCCTAGTTTCTAGTCCTTAGTTCCTAGTCAGAGTGAGTAGAGTAAAGTATCAATGTAAAGTGGAGTAAAGTCCTGGTCAGATGTATTACAGTAGCTGCTTAAACTGTCCCTCAAATAATGTGTTTAATTACCCACCATATTCCTACCTAAAATTAACATCTGCACTGGTCAAAATATTTAGCACTGCCTTTTATGCTTAACTTGAACAAGAAAAAATATATATTTGTCCTAAAATATGAAATACACGTCATAGAAAGCATTAAATGTACCTTGCTTATACATGTCGACACAATGTTACAACACTAATTTTATGTTTTAAAACAAATTAATTGTTTGTATTTCTTGAAAATTGTTGCTTCAATTAATGTTTTGCAAGATAGAACCTTTTAATTCCAAGTGGAAAATGACATTTTAGAATTAGAAGGTTCTATCTGCAGTTGACCTGTTCCAAAAATCCCCATTTACAAATTCGAGAGGATTTTGATATTGTACATTTAGAATATATTTTGGGTCTCTGTCATTTTCATGTATGAAAGAGACTTGTTCCCCATATAATTTTTGCTATAAGGAATGCAAAAACTTCGAAGCTCAATATCTCAAAAAACGCTCAGAATGCAGATAGAACCTTAATTCCAAGGTGGCAACGTGTCAGGACCTTCTCATTGTCATAATCATACTTCAGATTTACAGTTTTTTTTATTCGCTTTGGTACTGTTTTAAAAAAGGAGGTGTATATTTTCAAAACTCTTAGTACAAAAATCCAAACTGATCACACTTGTAACACCACTAGTCATTCTTTCAAAATCTGATCTCATGCTTTAATTACAACTGCACATATTTTCATCCACACAATCATTGTTTCAAAACGTAAGATTATTGTAATATATATTGAGAACATTTGTGATTTAATCACTGAAACACAACATTATCTTCTTTCAATTAAGTACTTTTAACAATAAGTTCATTCAAGACCAAAAAATGCAAGATACATGTTTCCAATCACCTTTGTTGCGGAAATAATTACGGGATTTAAGAATCGATATCGTTCCGTAAAAAAGAGAATCAATTAATATCGAGATATCGATATTTTTTACCCAGCCCTACTGTAAACATGTGTATTTGTATACCTCTGTGCACCCTGTTCGCGCAGACAGAATACGTCATCAGCGCGTTCACGCATGCACAGAGCGAGAATGGCAGTCTCGCACACTTTAATGCCCTTTGTATGGAACATATACACTCGCTTCGAACTGGAATCATGGCGGAATATCCGGTGATGTCCTCTTCGCAGGGCACTCACGGTCGAATAGAACAAACGTCGCACGTGATAAGAGATACATATGAAATGTGCAGAGCAGGAGGGTGTGAGGACTGGAATTGGGAACAGCTGATGTAGCCTATTGTAATGTTGTCTCTGGTGTTCTGGTCTGTGAGCGTAAATGCGTTCAAGGGGCGTGGCTTTGGATGGCGAGTGCAGGGAGGGTGGGACATTCGCTTTCAGTGCTATCAGGCTAAAGTTAGCATTTTCCAAGATCTCCTACTGCACCTTTAAATTAAATGTGGAGTATGTTAACTGTGACAAGATGATTGACAGGCCAGTTTACAGTGACAGGATGAGCGTAACTATGCGACAGATCATCCACTTAAGATGCAATTGTATGATGTAATAGTATGTCCCAAAGCTCGTGTTACTCTTCTGCTACACACTCAAAAGTGTGTACTTTTTCTTCACAAATAAGTACATACTTTTAGGGCATAGTATAAATAGATGAATTGGGATGCAGGATGTGTCTCATCTCCAGCATTGTTTTTTTTTGTGTCTCACCTGGGGTTAAAGGTCACTGCTCCATCACTGAGATAAGGAGGCAGATTGATGGATAAGTTACTCTTTATAGAAACACAGCTAGGCTCTGGAGATTCTGATCTCTTTTTCTCAGTATCACTAGAAGGAAGAGAAAAATATAAATAACTTTTTTTTTAATCAATGATATTTAAATTTTATCTCTTGACTCCAGCAATGGTTATTGTCTCACCTGGGGTTAAAGGTCACTGACCCATCACTGAGATAAGGAGGCAGATTGATGGATAAGTCACTCTTTATAGAAACACAGCTAGGCTCTGGAGATTCTGATCTCTTTTTCTCAGTATCACTAGAAGGAAGAGAAAAATAGAAATAACTTTTTTTTTTATCAATGATATTTACATTTTATCTCTTGGCTCCAGCAATGGTTATTGTCTCACCTGGGGTCAATGGTCACTGACCCATCACTGAGATAAGGAGGCAGATTGATGGATACGTCACTCTTTATAGACACACAGCTGGGCTCTGGAGATGCTGCACTCTGGTTCTGATAGTGAACAATATCCGCCTCCTCTCTCTCCTCATAGTGACTCATTTTAGAGCCAGTGTTCTTCTATAATTTAATTGTGATTTTCAGCCCTAGATTTGCAAACACAGAAAACATAAATGATACATAACAGAAAATGAATGAACAATTGTAATAAATATTAAAGCTGCAAGCAGCGTTGAAAGAGCCCTCGCACCTGGAACCACCTCCACCAGGTGGCCTTAGGAAAACAGCGAACAGTGGGCAATATGCATTTAAAGTGGTAAATATTCGAGGAATATATCTAAGTCATTTATATGTGCCAAACATCCTGTTGCCAGCTGGTGGCGCTATGACTACAACTGAATATTGGCATGTAGATATCTTCAGGCCAGGACTTTTATCAAACATGTGAAGTTTGGTGCAGATTGAACATGGTATGGTTGCGTTAGTGTAAAACAAGACATATTCTGTTGCCAACAGGTGGCGCTATGATTATAATTGAATATTGGCCTTTACATGTCTTCAGGCCAGGACTCTTACCAAACAAGAAATTTAGGGCAGATTGGACATTGCATGATTTAGTTAGTGTAAAACATGACATTTCCATTTGCCAGCAGGTGGCACTATGATTATAACTGAATATTGACCTTTAAATGTATTCCGGCCAGGACTCTTATTAAACATGTGAAGTTTGGATCAGATCGGACATTGTATGGCTGAGTTACAACAACTTCCTTTGCCATGGCGAAACGTCGAACTTTGTCAGACCACCACAGACACACCCTTTAACGAAAACTCAAGATCTTCACAATTTAACATCGCAAAGGGCTTTAGATTAGACTGACCAAATATAATGTTGATGTCATTAAAGGGTCATGAAACCCCAGACTACTTTTTCTGAGATTTTAGCAGAGGTGTTTGTGTTGCACATCATAGAAGACAATGTTAGAATTCGATAGTTCTAATTGTTGGAGAAAACTGGCTAATTTTAAGCTTTTTTGCGCTATTTTCATCTTCCGGGTTTAAAATCTACACTTAATTATTCACAACAGCATGTGTTGATTTGCTATGACAGACGCTTCAGACTGCGAGACCGCATACATTAACTGAGAGAAACGTTCATGGATCGAAGGAGAGTGTTTGTTTTTGCTTTGTAATAAGAGTTCGGCACAAACGCGATTCATTCACTTAGTGAGTGTAACCGTTTTTACAGCTCCGTGACACAACCCGTCAAAAGGCTTGTATAAACGCCGCAGAATAAGCCTAAAGTTCTCAGAGGTGCAACAGGGCGTTCATATATATGTTTTCGATGCAGAGTGCAAATGGCTGTGCATTTATTTGTGTTTTTAACTCGATGGGAGCGAAATGAAACTGTCTGAACGCTAAGCTCTGCGTGTGTGTTGTCTGTCTCCCCTCTTCCCTCCGCTCCTCAGCGCACAACGGCCACTTTTTTTAGCATTTTTTAAAACTGTGGTGAGAACTAACCAGTGCTGAAACAGGGGGTTTCATGACCCTTTAAATCTCTAGGAGGAGTTCGTTACAGCATAAAACATGTCACTTCCTGTTTCCAGCAGGTGGTGCTATGACTATAACTGCATATTGGCATGTAAATGTCTTCAGGCCAGGACTCTTATCAAACATGTGAAGTTTGGGACAGATCGGACATTGTATAGCCGAGTTACAACAACTTCCTTTTCCATGGTGAAACATCAAAATTGATCAGGCCACCACAGACATGCCCTTTAAAACCAAATCAAAAAACGGGGCATTTATACCTATAAGTGCCAGCGGGTCAAATTTACCCACTATATAATGCCTGTGTTTTCGCGCCGCTTGTTTTAACATTGTACATTGCTAGGCAACGCCTTTCACTCACTGAATTAGCAGTTATCAGTTTCATAAATAAAGTCACAATGAGTAAAAGAAGGCGATTTATGAATGCTGAAGAGGTATTAGAAGCACTAAATGCCATGAGTGATGGAGAGTCTGATGGTGGGGAGATAAGTGATGCGTCCTGGGTCGGCTCAGCATCTGACAGCGATCCAGATATCATATTTAGATGATTTAGCCTACTCTAAATAATTAATCCAAAGTTTGAACATTTATATTTTTGTTTTGTCATTTCTATTGTTTATTGTTCACTACTGTGTTGCTATTTATTCTAGTCTGCCCATTTCCTGAAAAAGAAAAAAATCTGATCTATGATGTAATGAATAAAACCATTTTTTTTGATTACCCGAAGATTATTAGTGTTGTTCTCTTATTAAAATTATAAATTATATAACTAAACAAATTAATAATTAATTAGGTGAAGCTGTGCTGCTTGAATTTGTCATCGCATCATACATCCTATACAGTGTGGTGAATTGTTATTGCTCATTATTGTCTATAGGCTATTTTAGTCATTTAAAGGCCGCCTTCAGTCACCACCCCGAGCACCGCCCACAGTCCCACTCTCCTTTTGCCAAATCCCCAGACAACATTGTGTCAATGCCATTGCTGAGCAACAACAACAAGGAAACATGTCGCAAAGGTTAACTTTAACCACGAAAACTCAACTTACACTCTCACTTACTTACACAATTATTACTTATCAATTTTGCTTGTGCGTCACTCAGAAAACAACAGGCCAATCAGAAGAGAGGCTCATGAATATTAATTAGACAGGTCAAAATCGACCTGTTCTCAGCAGAGCTCCTGAGAAAGGAGCTGTAAAAATATATTGAGATGGTTTTTGGTACTTATACCGCAAATATATATTCTTAAGGACATCAAAACCTAAGATAAAACTCCAGAAAGGTGTAAAATATGTGACCTTTAAATAACATGGGTTATCTTAATATATTGATTCATGACACTGTATTATAATATTACACATATGTATTTACTTCCTTCTAATTCTCGTCAGTGCAGGCTTGTTTAGGCTATATTGACCGTTATGAAAAGTAATTAGTGTAGCCTGCATAAAAAAAGCCTTGAACACAACAGGACAAAAATTGTTGTTGACTAGATATAATCTTTACATGACTCTAGACGCTTCTTTGTGAAGACAGTGGCATAATACAGTGAAATAATATGTTCTTTAGCCATATAAAAACAGTAGTCATGTGCGTGGGTAAAATCTACCCGCTGGCGGTTTTAGGTATACAATGACCCCTGGCGGTTCTAGTGTTAACGAAAACTCAAGATTTACCCTTTAGATTACACTGACCAATTATGATGTTGATGTCATTAAATCTCTAGGAGGAGTTCATTACAGCAGGGGTTCTCAAACCTCTCCATGAAGTACCCCCAGCACTGCACGTTTTGTATGTCTCCCTATATCAGACACACCCACTTCAGGTCTTGCAGTCTCCACTAATGAGCTGATGAGTTGAATCAGGTGTGATAGACGAGGGAGACATACAAAATGTGCAGGGCAGGGGGTACTCCAGGACAGGTTTGAGAACCACTGCATTACAGCATAAAACATGCCACTTTCTGTTGCCAGCAGGTGGCGCTATGACTATAACTGAATATGGGCATGGGCTTGTGTTCAGGATAGGACTCTTATCAAACATGTGAAGTTTGGGGCAGATCAGACATTGTATGCCTGAGTTAGGGGCCGTTCACATATCACGTCTTTTGCACTGTCAAGTTCGTTTTTTCAAATGTAGAGACACACAAATAGAGAGTGACGCGGTCGCGACGAGCATGCGGTGCGACACGCTCGTTTTTTCCAGGAGCGTCTGTGCCGCAGCGTGATAAAAACATGTTAACTTTTCAGAATGCCGCAAGCGCACCACAGGTCATGTGACAAGAACCAACCAATCACCTTCACCCTTTCCGTAACAACATTGAATGCGCAGCCAAGATGGGCAAACAGCTGATCATAGCTGTACAGGGATAACCATTTTTTTTTATAAATTTATTATAAATTTAGTAGCGGAGCTACTTTCGTAGCAAGCGATTTAGTAGCAAGCGATTTTCAGTGCTGGAAATCCATTTATCCTTTGCTGAAACTCACGGAGAGCGCAGGTCATAGTTGCTTAGCAACGGCAGACGCCATGGGAGCGCAAGCTCCCGAGCACTTTGGAAAGAAGGAGAAAGCAGCGGTGTGACTTCTCCTATGACGACCGTTAAACCAAGGAGTGCTGAACGTGAGAACGCAATTAGCGTGACAACTTCAAACCACCTCAGTGAAAATGTCGAAATGAGTCAGGTGGACAGTACAACAAGAAGAAAAACTTATTGAGCTAAGGAGGGAAAAGGAGTGCTTGTATGACGTGTCGTCGCAGCTCTACCATGACAGGGCTAAAAAGGACACGGGTCATGGATTGATGACATAAAACTCCAGACAAGTCTTCTTGTGTACGTCCGTTTTTGTCACGTCTTGACTGTCGTACAGTCTGACATTATGATAAATGAGATCCTACAGTGTGACATCATGTTCGTATAGTGTGACAAGCAACAATCGCAAAGGACTATTAAAAATCGCACAATGTGAGCCCGGCTTTACTTATTCTTGATTTCTGTGCCTTTGCTGTAGAGCCTTTTGCAAGGCAAGGTGACAGTGGCATTTGTGGAAAAAAAAGGGAAAGCCTGAAACAAAAATATAAAGTAAGATCATTTTGTTACTTGTAATACAGAAATCAAATGACATTGTGCTGTTAAAATGACTTTTGTATTATGTTTGTGCAGTTTTGTAGGATCTGAAATGTCCGCAGACTGGTGTGGGCACTGAGGATGGGGAGCCCACAGCGGCATCCTGGAAATGGTACAGTGCCATGGATGAGGCAACGGGGGCAGACCCTCCATCACTCCACCTGCCCTTACTGCCTCATCTGGCCCGAATGTTGCTGTGGTCTCTTCATCCTCAGTGAGCCCAGAGCCAGCAAGAGCATCTAGAAAAAGACCAAAAGACGTGAGGATGTGTGAGGATGCTACTCCTTTTCTCTCCAATACAGTAAGTAGGAAGGTTAAATTAAATTAAATGTGGAGGATGTTAACTGTGACAAGATGATTGACAGACCCGTTTGCATTGACACGGTGTGTGTAACTATGCGACAGAGCAGTTCATTAAAGAAGCAATTGTATGACGTGATAGTATGTCCCAAAGCTTGCCTACACT